CGGGGGGTCTTACTATGGAGGAGTGGATTGAGCAGTGCCTATCAACAGAAAAAAAAGCACCTAAACTACGACATGCAGAGCTACGTGAAGAGCAGGTAGACCAACTGGAAAAGTACCACCATTCAAAAGCTTTCTGATGCGGGTCTTGAAACAAAGCAGAGAAATTATGACCGTTAGTGGCCAGAGGTGCGAAAGGTCTCTCCAGAGCTACTGGAAGCCCAATCTCGGGGACCGGAGAAAGTGGAGCAATATTCTCGCCACGCCAAGCAACAGCCTAGAACAACCTCAACCTATACAAGTCACCACGTAAGCCATTCTACTGATGCTGGACAGTTTTTCAGTGGCTGCACAATAAACGGCAACATAGAAAAACGAATGTAAATAAATAGCCAAATAATGGATCAACGCTCTCTGTCTAATATGTTCGATAGCTGTTAGTGTTGTTGCATAGCAACCACCACGCACTATGTTTCATGCAGAAGACAACGGAGGGACTATTTTATTTTGAACATCGTTATTTACGAATAAAAACTATTTAAATTAGAGTGTGTATTTTTCTTTCATATTGCCACACTTGGTAACCGTTTTATAAAAGCAATAGCTCACTTCAGGCCGTGATATATGCTCATTATATCACAGCTAATGGGCGTGGTTCGGCCCGACGCGAAGCGGAGGCCTGTCGTGAGCTATTGCTTAAATATGCTGACAGTTATTTTACTCTTATTTTTACTCATCTCCTATTTCATAGTCTTTTATTATTATTATCATCATTATTTTTTTTTTCTTGATTTTATTTTTGATTTTATTAATCTGTGTGAATCTTTGCTGTCCTGTTTTTTCACGCTTACCCTATTGCTGCTTTGTACAACTGAATTTCCCCCACGGGGATTAATAAAGGTTCATTTTATCTTATCTTATCATAATTCTTTATTAACAATATACACATTGTTTTATGATTGCATAAGTTATATTCATCCCACCTTTAACCTAATTTTTTACTAAATTAGAATTGGCCATGGGTTGCAAAATCCTTTTAAATAAAATCTACTTATTGGCTTTATGGCCGAAAGTTAGATGAAAAAGTGCAAGCTAGCAGACAGTTACTGTAGCTTAGCTTAGCATAAAGGCTTTAAAGCTCCCATGTCATGGCCATTTCTACTGATCATAATTCCATTGTTGAGGTATACTAAAATAGATTTACACTGTGCAATTTTCCAAACTCACATTGGTTTCTCATACAGCATCTCTGTAAAGTATGTGTATTCACCGGTATTCACTCCCTGTCCTAAACGGCTTGTTGGAGCTCCTGCCCCCCCTCCCTCTGAGCCCAGTGTGCTCTGATTGGTCGGGACGTTGAGAGGCTCGTTGCTGCGATCTGCGGACAGGCTTCCGCTCCTTGCCGCAGATCGCATTAACGAGCCTCTCGGCGATACAGCGAGAACAAGCAAAACTCATCCTGAGCACACACAAACACTCACAGCTGAAGTAAAAACAATAAGTGTGGCTTGATATTGAGTAAGAGAAAGGTTTATAACGCTGTGAGAATAGGTCTGTCTGAGCATTTCTCCGCGATCCCAACTTAGTAGCCCGAAAAACGTTTACCCATTTGAACAGTCGTGGTAGATACCTTGCTTGTTTTAAACATCATAAATACACAAACAACAATGAATACTTACAGGTTGTGTACCCAAATCTCCCGCTGGTCCAAACAAAGTAGGAACAGCATCGTTCTTCAGTGCCCTACGCTGTACATATCCGGCATGAATCGCTGAAAGGTTTGGGAAGCTTTGTTTCGTGAAAGGCTGGCAGAGGGTGTGGCCTCTGGGTATCCCCACGTCAGAGTACCCAGGAAGAAAATGAGAAATCTCCAACGAGTCGTTTGGGGAGGTCTTTTCTGTGTTAGAGTTTTACTTGCTACAGGGTGTACTTTGAGGGTTTTTGACTCTGCAGACCGTTTACATGCATAAAAACCTTCATAACACACAAGGGGACGGGTAATAACCGGAAAAGCATGACATGGGACCTTTCTGCAGGTCACCCTTGAAAAAGAGATCTTTTGATCTCAAGGGGCTTTCACCTTGTTAAATAAAGGCTACAAACAAACAAGGTATTCACAACATGCTCATTAGTCAGTCTACCTACAGTTACCTATAAAGAAACCTTTTTTGAGAAGCCGCTTACTTACATTAACTTTGTCTGACCTGTAAAGCTAGGAATGTAAGCATGAAAACAACACCATTTTTAATTAGTAGGTTGTTGTTCTTCATAAACATAATGTTGAAAAGTATTTCAGACATACAGAATTACAAAAGACAGATCTAAAATGATGATATTTGAGCATTAAATAATGTAAACAACCTTTTTTCAATGCTAAATCTGCTATTTTATCCTGCTAAGCTAAGCTTGAAGATACTTCCCAATATGTCAACAAAAAACGTTTTGTCTATCTTCATCTTTATCCTATTCAACCTTAATTCTGCTTTGGCATTGTAATTTACCAGACAGAGCAAAGACATCTCACTTTTAATTAAGTACTTCTATGACCCACATTTTTAACAAGATAGTTTACACATTTCAGAGCATGAATCTGATCTGAATTTTTATTTATCTTCAATGTATGTTGATACACAAAAGGAAAAACACTATGCCCTTACAAGCTAGTTCACTTTCATAGAAAAAACTGGGGAAACTGAAGCAGATACTGGATATTTTTTTGGTTTTTCGTTCACATTTTCCCTTTTGTGAACAGGTTTTCCATCAAAGCTGTCTGCATCTGCTAGCTGTCAGCCATCCATGTTGTTCATTAGCGAGCCACTCCACTCAGTTTCCCATGGTTCTTTGTTTGTGTGTCATGTATGAACTATGACCTGTGAGCTGATACTGTCGGACTAAATGATCTGAATGTCAGCAATGCATTGTATCAGCTTCTTTTTCAAATAATAGAAAGGAAAGTTGACAGGACAAGATGCTATGATTGATAATGTGGAAAAATAACTGTGAAAAAAACCATTAGCGTGGCATTTGACCCACAATATTAACATTCACCTTGATGTTAGATCATGACATTTCTTGGGTGATTTCCCTTAAAGAAACAGTAGGGATCAGGGTTTAGTTCACAGTTAAGGAGACTGTTCATGTTGGATATGTTAAATATTTATTGTTTTAAGAAACTGTTACCATTTCTCTTCCCAACAGAATTCATATTTTTTCTGCAAAGGCATTGACACGGATAAAATAACCTCTTAACATTAAGTAACTTACAAATGTACATACAAAGTTATCTACTCTGTTGTAAAAAAATAATAAATTAGAACAATAAATAGTGTTATTTGAGACAAGCAGCAGAGGTTCCGAAAGTCTTTTAAACAAAGTATTTCTGTGATTGCATTTCCTTCGGGTTGTATCCATTATGGTCACATGATTAGGTGCCCCCAAGTCCACTCTTGAGTTTCGCTTGCAGATAATAACTGTCCAAATAAGACAATTTACCATAAAAGTGATGGAAGGGTCAAATGATGAGTTGGAGATATGCTGGCGGCACATCACAGAGTTGCAGTTCAGATTGTTTGTTGCCCAGGAATGTGGACAACCCCTGCCCCTATGTCCTGTCCGACTCCCCCATCCCACCATCTTAAAAGTTGCCCAGAATGCCGTTCAGTTCTCCAAATTGAGTGTTGTTTCTCAACCCCCCACACCTTGCTATCACTGTAGCTTGGGGGAGTGGAAAAGAGGCATGTGAAGTGGGAAACAGGATTGGGGTAGATAACCCTGCCACTAGGAGCCCTTGCACAGCGCCTACGTATCAGGAGGCTGCAGGAGGCAGGAGGTCGGACCGCAGAGTTCATGTCTTGTCAGGTTGCCTCAGGGGGGGTCATTCCACTGCGCCAGGACACATGAAGTGCTGATTAGTGTTTGCATCGAGTGGGGAGGCCAGAGATAAGTGGAGAGGAAGACAGATGTCAGTGGAAAAGAGAGGGAGGGGGATGAATGGCCCGCTGGTTCCCACCAAGCCGCCTGACTGTAGGATGTGAAATCTTGAGCATTTTCTTTCTATGACAACACACCTTGGCATCCCTACCGGCAACATGTTGACTGTTGATCCGCAGCAGACCGTCTTCATTCTATCTGTCTTCATTCTATCTGCGCACAAAGTTTCATAAATAGTGAATGAACGATTCCAGTCTCATAAAGCAACTCGTGCAGAGATTCTTGCCAGACATTTTTGGCTGACCTCCCTTTTCAGCTTATTGTTGTGTCTTTCCTAGACTTTACAATGAGTAAAACTCCCTCAAACCATGGACTATCTGCAGCCACACTCAGACACCGCCATGCCCTCAAACTTGTACTTGTAGGTGACTATGCCTGTGTCGTCCAAGTACAACAGGGAGATGGGGTCCAGCTTGGTGGGCACACAACAAGCCCTTGCAGCCTTCTGAGGGCTGTTGATGTTGATCAGAGTCTGGACTATGGCATGCTTTGTGGGCGTGACATGCTTTGTCAGTGGGAATGAACAAACGCCAGTGCACTCAAAGGCATCGTAACCAGTCGGGGCGAGGATCCAACTGTCCCATCCAATGTCCTTGAACTCTACGTACAGAGATTGTTTCTTGCAGTGGTTTCCCTTGGCATTGCGACGAATGCGAGATGCCGTGTCGTAGATCAGATTGGAGCGCATTTGGATTAGTTCCTCTTCATCTGGCTCTGATTCTTCATCCCCCTCATCCTTCCCCAGCTCCCCCCACAGATCGTTCAGGCCCAAGTCATTTTGAAGAACCATGTTTGAGGTTTCGTGGTCGATCATCTCGTTCAGCTCGCGTTTGTCATCCCGGTGATCGGTACTTTGGTCATCAGAGAAAACAATCAGCAAAGGTTTGTGTTTCTCCTCAGGGCTGGTGTCGATCTTCATATCCCCTTCAAGTCCGTCTTTGTTGTCCTTTGTCATGGTTTGAACATTTTCCTCATTAGCCATGCTTACAATGTGCACCTCCAACCGATGCGTGGTGCCATAGTCCAAATTACGCCAACGTTGAACAGCAGCAGTGAGGTCAAAGGCCTCCCAGCTGTTATCGGTGCCGTAGACCTGCCGTGAAGCCAACTCCACCAGCTCTATCCGTTCTTCCTCCTCTTTCAATACATCTCCTCTCAAAGTATTGTCATCAGTCATGTTGTCATCCACGATATGCGAATCCAGCTCATAGATCGTCACCTTTCGGTCGACTCCAGCATAGAGGTGGCGGTCAGTCTGGACAAGTGTGTAGAGGCGAAGCTCTGCCGCTGTGATGCGTTCATGATGGGGAACTGACACATTAAAGAGTAATGGGTGACGTCTCACTCCTCCAACACCCACACCACAAGGAGATGAATCTAGGGAAGATAAATACATTGTCAAAGTTGAGCTTTGGTTTATTTTGTTTCTTTAATAAGGTTTTCAGCTGGGTTTTGCAAAAATATCCTAACCTAATTTCATCCTCAATTTCATCCGCATTTGGAAAAGATTAAACAATGATATTTATGTAATTGGAAGTAGTTCCATTTCAGAGTAATACTTTTGACATGTTTTGACATACTTATCAGTGCAAGGACATTGCTTTGCACTGAGAACTAACAAGGAAAAGGGTCATGACTAAGGATTGGAATTTAAAACAAAATGTTAGTTCGTACAAGCTTGAAGCTTAAATCTATTAAAAACTTAACATACACAAGAAGACCCTTTTTCTAAGTATCTTACTATGTGTGATGGGGAAAATAAATAATACATGGCAGCAACGAAGAAGTAAAAGGTGGCTCTTAAATTGACTCAATCTATTTGATCAACAGGGGCATTATCAAATGGAGCACTGGATCTTTACCTTCATTTTTGAAGCTGCGGATAATGTTGGCAGTGGGCATGGCAGTGCGGTCATTAGCAAAACGGTTGTAGAGCTCCATCATGTACTCAGGTGGCTCTTCCCTTGTGCTTCCAGGAGGCAGGGGCTGAGGATCCAAGCCAGACAGATTAAAGGTCCGCAGAAACTGTTCCTTCAGGCTCTGCAACAGGCTCTGCATGCTTATATTGTTGTCCTGCTCCAGCAGTGATGTATCCACCACCCCTCCATGCCCGTCTGCCTGATGCCTCTGATTGGTGTTGGAGATAGGGCTGCTCAGTCCACAGAGACCCTGGAGCAGCAGGATGGAAAACAGCACCAGCAAAGTCTTGGAGCTGCAGATCGTTCCCAGTTGAGAGACCCAAATGCTCGCCATGGGAAAATCTGCAGCTTTCTATTTTATGCCCTTTGGGGTTAGATAAGCTGAGGCACCAGTAAAACAAAAAAATAATTGTGTTTTCTGAATGCCTTAATCCAAATATTAATCGAAATTGTGGTCAGTTCATCTATAGGCAAAGAAAGGTCTAGATCCCTGTCAGTAGACGTTAGTGGTGTTGACCCTCGCACTGACTGCTCTCTTCCAGATCTCACAGCATTTATTTCATGCACACCTTTTGATGTCCTTTGCAAAAGGGTTGCAGTTCCGGTGACAGGGTGGCCAGGGCTTGGCTTTGTCCGTCCGAGTCATCTCTGTTGTGTCTTCTCCTGTCTCGGTCTCTCTGTGCTCTGCTCTGTTCTTCCCAGCTCTTTCTTTTTGTCCCTTATCTATGATATGGTGGGCTCTGCATTGCTCAGTGCTTATGGTCTCTTTTGCTGGTGTGTGTGTGTGTGTGTGTGTGTGTGTGTGTGTGTGTGTGTGTGTGTGTGTGTGTGTGTGTGTGTGCGCGTGCGCGTGCCTTTAACTTTGTGTGAGGCACATGAGCGTGTGTTATCTCACAACTTCCTTAATGAGGATTTTGTAAACACTGTCCTGTAGCCTCTTCCTTGTGGAAGCGCTATTTTGTTTGGGTGGGTGCTCCAGGGTTGATATTCCTCATTTGTTTATTTGCTTTGTAAATGGTGGAGTTCTGCAAGCTTGACCATTTCTTTATGACAAAATACATCTAGGCTCTGTTGATATCATTGAATGTAATAGGAGGTATCTATTAAACGATATTTGTCCACATTGAAATGGAAATGCAATGAGGTGTGAGGCCTTAATGATCAAGGAGGAATGATACAGAACTGACTGTGAGTCACAACACAGTAGTACAAAAAAAGCATTCTTGTTCCCTAATGCTTGCTGAAATGTTTTGTGTTTACTTCCTAATTTGGTAAATTGACTGTGTCTGGGCACAAGAAGTTCTACTTAAAAAATGCAGAAGCTAGACTGACAATGCAATCTACATTGGTTACCCATAGAAATACATAATCATAATTGTTTTAATGTACCTATAAGGCACAACAAGGGCTGGCCCCACTTTACATTTCTGAATTGTTATGTTCCCTCGCTGAGATCTTTTAAGTGTATTGACCTATAGACCAAAATGTTGGCTTAAAACTTAAAAAACACTATACTGTAAGGTATATGTCATTTAACACTCTGTTTTATCTTATGACATTTGTTATATATTGTAATTATTCCTGCATTTATTATTGCAATATTATGTTCCTGCAGTAAATCAATCTTGCCCTTTTTTATTTGTTTTTATGTATCGGGTATGTGTCTAGCATTGTTGGAGGTGCCTGAGATTTACGACAATAAAGCCTTTAAATCTGGAAGTAAATGTGACTGTTGCAGCTGTGGCTTTCACCCTTAAATCCATATTTTCCTAGTTGTCAAAAACACTGTCAGTCAATAGTTTTAAGAAGCAAAACCACCTGTTTCCTATGCACTTTTTCCTATAATGTTGCATTCAGTGAAGATTTAACAGGTTTTTTTATTGCTATTTCCTGTTTCACTTTCTCTTTTTTTGTTAACGTTTGCATTGTTCACCACCTAGTGACAATGGTTCCCAAAGCCACTTTGTAAATACACGGTACTCACTTTCAGTGCTACCAACATGGAGTCAAGGGGCTGGTCAGATGTTTTCTGATCAGATTAATAACAACTCTTCAAATAAATCTACTCATCGTCACCTGAACCCTCATCCCACTACACAACTGTCCTTCATTCCTGAGCTTCTTTGCGTGACCTGCAGATACACTCCTGATTGTGGCGCGTCACAGAGATGGGAAGGAATGAGCTTTTCCTGCCGCTGCCACCCATCTGCCAGGCTGACAATTGACAGACGTGCTGTTATCTTTCACTCTGTTAAACACATCTTCCTGATGACCGTAAGAAGGCTGGATAATGGAAATGTTCTTTTGCTCAAAAACACAAGCACACACACATTCATGCAGACAGTCCCATCCATATGTTCTGTATTATGGTCCTAAGGGTGTAAGAAATGTGGATTTATACAGGAAAGACCTGCTATTTTAGGATTGATCCTCCCCACATACAGTATTATGTGCTGATATTAAATATCTAAATGTTATGGTTTTCATCTGTGTTTCCCCCACAATGGTATGTTTTTTTAGGATGGAAAATGTATGAAAAACTAACAGATGGTAGGGGAGAATTTCTATATTCAATTTCCTGTCCTTATTACGTGGGTTTCGCCACACCCCCATCTCTTTAGAAGACTGTAGCAGTGACCATCAACTGGTGGCCCTCGGGCCACATCCGGCCCGCCAGACATTCTGATCCGGCCCGCACGGCGGGGGTGACTGTGGCGTTGGCGGAGTGGTTACGGCTCGTCCACACAGCAGCTTTGAAAAAATCTTGAAAATCTTGGAGGTGGGCGTGTCTGAAAGCTTGGGGATTTTTTGCGAGCAACGCGACCAACAACCAATCACATGAATCTCCCGCCCCGACATACAAAGCAATAGCAATGTTTAAACGAAGTAAACTGGATATAAAATCCCCAAACAGGCGAAAACCTACCAGTTTCACCCACTGTCTCTGCCACCTCCCTCCATGCCTGGTTCCTCCGGTTTGTATCCCAGTAAATAGTCTGGTCGTAAAGAACCGGGTGATTTGCTACCGTCTTTCCCAGTTTACACGCGGTTTGAATGGCTAGCGCTTGTACTGTCAGATTATCATAAACGGGATTTGATTGGCTGACGCTTCCACCTCAGCTTCAAAAGTTGAACATTGCTCAACTTTTGAATCCTGAAAATCCTGGAAATCCTGGAAATCTTCGCTTTGCTTCCCCACAATGCAGTTCGGCGAAAAGCGAGGCAAAGTGACGTCAACCCATTCAAAGTGGATGGGCAGAGAAGTGTTGGAAGATTTTTTTAAAGCTGCTGTGTGGACGGGCCGTTACACCTTGTCCACACAGCAGTTTTAAAAAAATTTTGGGAATGAATGTTTGGGGAGTTTATATCCAGATTACTTCGTTTTAACATTGCTATTGCTTTGTATGTCGGGGGCGGGAGATTCATGTGATTGGTTGTTGGTCGCAAAAAATCGCCAAGCTTTCAGACACACCCACCTCCAAGATTTTCAAGATTTTTTCAAAGCTGCTGTGTGGACGGGGCGTTAGTGCTTTTGCCCCCCACTCATTCTTTTTTTACAACGTCTCATGAGTAATGTGCAGCACCGGAGTCCAACAGAGAGGCAGCAGCTGCGGGACAGTAGCCTGCATACTGCGTAGCCTTCCCTGCCCTGAAGAAGAAGTGATCATAACGCCCTAGCTATTTCATCTCTATAATGATAAATAGGCTTGTAAGCTCTCAAATAGCAAATTAAATATAAATACCTTAGAGCGCTCCCACTTTAGAGACAGGAATTGTAGCCTAAACCATTTTGTACCATTGGCGTTACTTGTTATGCAATATGTTATATAATATATATTTCGTTTCAGAGTATCTTTGTTGCTATGTTAGCAAATGTTAGCATGCCAACACACTAAACTAAAATGGATAACACCTAAAAATACCTGATGTTAAATATCAGCATGATAAGTGTGAGTAATAAGTGTTAGCTTGTTAGCAGGCTGATGCTAACATTTAGCTTCAATACGCATGGATGTAGGCCATGTCAGTTATGATGTATCACCTGCTAGCGGTTTCTACAATCATGCACAATATCCTCAGCTTTCAGGTGTCTTCATCAGTATGACAGGACATTGTTTTTGTTTTTATTTTTCTTCCGTTATTTCTGCTTTTTGCTTCATATGAATGCTATTCCGTTGTATTTGCATCTTAGCAATAATGTACAAATACTAAAGGTTTTGTTTTCATGCATCAAGAAAAACATGTAAATGTGTGTTTTATTAATTTACCACTGAAACGAAATGGACTTTTCACTTATAGGATACACGCTGTTCACCATTAAAATATACATATCCGCCCACTTGACCTTTAATCAAAGTGTTCAGTCTATGCCAGCCTTTCATTTTCGAGGACAGCAGTAGCAGTAGTCTTTCTTTGTAAATAGTAATATTCAGATAAACCTTCCTCACAGACACAAACAAATGAGCCAATCATTTATCTTCTATTAAACCGAGCTCAAATGGAAACAATCCAGTGGAGGAAAATAGCATAACCATTTCATGCAAAATTAGCTCTGTTGAAGTTTGCAGAGTCATAAATCTATATTTGAGTGAGTCTTAAAGTAACCGTTAGGTGGGATCTTGTGGCTTTTTAGGGAGGAACTGCTGAATGTCTCTTTGGAGCTCCTTGTTGCGTCTCTGGGCCTCGTCTCGGCTTCGCTCAGCATTTCTCAGGCAGATCTCCAGGGTGGCCACTTTGCTGCGATCGGCCTCCAGGCCAGACTGGAGCTCTGCCACCATGGCCTTCAGCTCCTTGTTCTCCCGCTGCAGACTGCAAGAGACGGTGAGAGACACATGAGGCTCACACATAAATCTATTCTGGAAACAGCCCAGTCTCTGTGATAGCAAAAACAAACAAATCCAAGAATATTGAGTAAAAGTCCCCGATTGAATTCCCCTGTTTTCAATCTAAATCAACTTGTAACAAGAGTTTCCTGGAAGTCAGTGTCATTTTCTTGATTCTAGGCCAGTCATCTGTCCACATTTAACTTTCATTTTTGCAATATTCCCAAAACAAGAAACACTATTTTTGGAACAAAATGGCGCTGGACATAAAACACTATTAGTTGTCAACAGTTCAAGACACAATTTCTGGCAGGTGCCACACAGGAAATGTTTTCTGAATATAATTAGATTTCAATCTTGTGTTTCACTTTAATCTTGGTGTTAGAATTGAAGGACTGCATGCTGCTCCTTTGAGATCCAAGTTTTTAATAAAGTGCAGCAGGAATTACATGATGTGTTGGCCAAACCGAAAGTTAGCATTGTACTGGTTCCCATGACATAAAGCAAATGGATTTTCTTTGCCCATAAGATTAGATAAGGTGAGATAGTACTTTATTGTTAACCCATTGTTCATTTATTGTACTGAAATAAGCTCTATGGAAAGCAAAGGTTAAGATAATGCCAAATGTTGTTCAGCAAGATACTATTTACTTAATATAACCAATGTTGTAATTTGTTCAAGGTAAAGCAGAAGCTCAGGTCACATGATAGTGATTGACCCTTTTCCAGCCACTAGAGATCTTTTATTTGATGTCAGTTGTTAAACTCTTCCAGCTAAAACTAAGCGACAGACAAATTACTCAAAACCAAAATTGATTTGGTTGTTTTCAAGGTTGTTAAGCTAAAATAGTTCCTCAAAAGATATTGATCACCTCAATATTCCATTAGACAACATTGTTATAATATTGTGGTAAATAACTGCTTTATCAGTGATAGTAACTTAAAACTTGAAAAGTGTGTAGCCTACAACATGTTTCTTTAATGGCAAGGGTCTCTGGTGTGTAATTCCTCACCTTTCTACGAGCTGGCTGTCTGTCTTCTGCTCCGGCTTGTTGGTGGGTGTGAGGATCCCTATTCTCTTCTGTGTGGACAACCCAGGCTGGGGGTCACTGTCTGGTTTTTGGGGGCCCGCAGAAGAAGAACTTGTGTTGTCACTTCCTCTTCGGGCCACTAACTTCTCCTCTCCCCCTCCAAACAAAGACCCTGAACTCTGGAGGTCCAGCATCTTAAAAATGTCCTCTGACAGCGTCCCACTCTTCTCCTCCATGCTCTCCTGGATTTGGCTCCAGCGGTTCAGGGCGTCCGCCTTGGCAGCCATCCCAGTGAGCGGGCAGTTGAAGGCTGGCAGGGTCTGGGTGCGTTTTCGGGGGCTTCCCGACCAGCCGTCTGGTGTGGGGGTTCGGGGGTCCTGCTGAGGAATCAGGGGGCTGAAAGAGTCTCTGCTGGGACCCGGACTGTCGATATCCTCCTCCTCTTCTGGAGACTCAGACAGAGAAGCATCTCCCATCTGAGACAAAAGCACATGAAGATTAATAACAGATTTATATCTACTTCCTCGCACAATGTGACACGTTCAATATGATATGGAGCGTTTTTAACAGATCCCAGACTTCAAGGAACTTTATGATGAATCTCTTATTATGTTATGTATTATTTATATTGAGTTAATATTCATGCCAGTGTTACAATACAATATAGGCCTATGTACTTTGATGCTTTGACAGCATTGTTTTTTTGCACAGAAAGTACATTTATTTCAATGATTATCAACATTTATGTAAATTAAATGTCATACTTTTTGAACAGGTTTAATAAATTGCCCATTAATATGTGTTTTGGCACTTGTCTTTCTTTACCAAAGGAACATTGATTTGGGACTTTCTTGTGACTTGGACAAAAATGTGCTCGTACCTCTGCAGACTCCCAGCCCACGAAGCTTCGGGGCGTGTTCTTCTTGCTCTCAGCCTTCTTTGAAGGCGGGGAGGGAAGAACATCTTTGGAGAGAGGAAACAGAGCCTCGTGCTGTCGGATCATCACCGTCATCAGCTTCTGGATCTGAGGAGTCGCTGTGAAGAAAACAAACCTGGAAAGATTATCATCAAAACGTCTTCTCTTCCGGTTTTTCTTTTTATCTTTTAAAAAGTATTTTCCAGATGTTGAGTAATAACGACTTTTAGAGAGAAGTATAAGCCTAATTGGGACCAGAATATCAGACACATGATTTCAACACACATCTGCACACATGTTGGTTGGTCAGCAGTGTGTTATCTTACCCTTCATCACAGAGATGGGGTCTTCTATCTGAGGTTTGAGCAGGTTGATGCCCATCACTGTGGCCAAGTTCTCCACATTCATCTTGTTCACACTGGAGTGCTGCTGCACCTCGAACAAAAACCTGCAAAAAGAGAAAGCATAGAAAGCAGATGGTCTTAATATTAGTTGGGACGGAAACTGATCTCAGAAGAACATTTGGATTATGTTTTTAACAAGAGGGATTTAGGATCTGGTAAATGTACCGGAAAGTGTCTTCCTCAGGGATGTGTCATTGAACAACGATGTTCTCTCTAAACAGAAATTAACGGGCTGTACCAAATTGTTCAAAGTTTAGCTCATAACATGGACGTCGAAATTGTAATTCAGCATTCAAAAGCTGACCAGAATGTAGTTGTTTATGTTTATAAATCCACTTAGTTTTATATTATCTGTAGGATTAGATTCAAGTGGTGGATGCGTAATGTCATAGCACAAAAATATCACATGTTTGGAGGGGACAAAGCCTTGTTACGAGTACGTTAATGTGTACATTAGTTCCCCTTTTACTTTCTCAACCCCTCTCTCTCAAACACACAAACACACACACCCTCAACATGAGCTCAGTCCTCAATCTGCATTTAATTATGTTGACTAAACCAACACATTTTAAGTAAAATGTGATATATTCATTAATGGTTAAACTAGATAATCGAATGTATTTAATCCAATATATATCCATTTATTTAAAATGAAGATACAAAATATACATATCTATGGTGAATATATTGAACATTCAATGACATACAGTACATATGAAGCTTCATTTGTAAACCTTTTTGTTATAGCCCTAATTGGCCTCATTGTCTAACCAGGAATGTCCCATAATGCTTTGCAATCCAGTTTGTACTCACCGACAGACATAACTGAGAAGGTTGTAGTTGGTTCTGGGAAGAAGAGCAATTTGTTTTTCCAACTTTTTCCAACCCTGAGAGGATACATGAGGAAAAGATTAAAGAACAAGGCCTCACAAAATACCACATGACCTCTCCTACATGTACACTCGAACATTATATAGTATATATATTATACTGCAGCCAAACGTACCTCTGAGCTGCTCGAGTCCAGCAGGTTGGTGCAGTCCAGGAAGTCTTGGTACTGAGTCCAGGGCACCACGGGCTCCGGGAGCTCGCGCAAGTACAATTTGAGCAGAGACGCCACCGTGTGGACATCTGTGTCACTGTGGGTAAGGACACATATTCTACAATTAACATGCAAATACTGTGTAACCTAAATAAAAAACAATACGCTTCCATGCATTTTTCCTGATGCATCATTGACTTTAGTGATGGGAATCACGGCTCTATGAGGGGAGCCGGATCTTATGGCTCTGTTCCTTTCCGAGAGCCGTTCAAAAGACCCATTTTTAAGGGGGCGGGGTTACTAGGTTTATCTGCGAAATAATCATCAGGATAATGATTGACTGTATTGCCAGACCTAATGTCTCGTGCCTAAACCTAACCAATCAGAGGCACTCCTGCCTAAACCTAACCAATCAGAGGCACTCCTGCCTAAACCTAACCAATCAGAGTTACTCCGGCCTAAACCTAACCAATCAGAGTAGGGGCGGGTCTTCACGGAATACGCTTGGGGAACAAAATCAAGCTTTTTCACTGTTCATGTAAAGGCGAGTGGAAAAGAACGGCTCTCACCAATTAAGACTCCATTCCCTTTGTTCGTAGCAAAGAGCTGTTCAAAAGAATCGGATCGTTCGTGAAAGTAACATCACTAATTTACTTGCAGTCTGCTTGATTACATGCTGTGAATGTAAGGGCCCGGCCACACAAGGACGAATACGGCTAAACCTATGGGCTAAATGCATAGGATTATCGCAAACGCAATCGCAAAAAAGCTTCCGTCCACACGCAATATTCACCGGATAGTGTCTGTCAACACGAGCAGCTCCGTTTAGCTCCAACCGCTGGAGAAGCTGCAGTACATATGCAGGAGCCTGTACGTGGCGCTGTAACTTCCTCCACAAAAGCAGCGAAGAAGCATGGTTGTCATGGTTGCCCTTCTGTTTATTCTCCGCGCTGGGGGCCGAGGGCATAGATATATATAAAAACTAGATGGCTCATGGGAGATTTTCCAGCGTAGCTGACCGGCCGCCATCTTGCCACAGTCAACAGTTACTCTGATTCGCGTTATGGTATCTGTTGTAAGGTGAGTGATCTGCACAAAAATACTCTTAACTCGCTGAAATCTTGACTGATTTACAAACGGTTTGGTTTATTA